GGTGCGAATCATTAATCACTCTTCATTACTGTAAGATTACGGTACAAACTTTCAGCGCCACTGTGGGATAGACCTTTTGATAAAAAATTTTTTGAAAAATCTGGAAGTTTGTGAAACTGGTTTTTGGGCGTGTTGATTTCACTACACAATCTTATACCAGATACCAGCCTTTGAGCATTTTTAATGGTGAAATTACACTCCTGACGGAAAAACGACTGCTACCCTAAAATTGGAACAACTCATAAAAAAGGCAAAGTGAACTGCAAGTTTCATATTCAGGATCAGCGATTTTGATTAGTCCGGTAAAGGATTTCTGGTTTGTTTGGTTTCCCCTGTGAGGCAAAAAATGCTCTCAATTTTCTGGAAACCTACTCGATGTTCCTACGGTAATCCTACAGTAATGGAGAGTGATTGATGATTTGTTCCATATTGCATAGTCAGCTAGTCACACATACCCAAGAGCTTTGTGTTATTGGAAGCATTTTGTCGATAATTTCATCAGCTGAATTGCTGCTTACATGGGAAATTTGCTGATGTAAATGAATAGAGAGCTTCTATGTAGAAGCTTGCGATTACGGTCAAAATCGTATCACTGAAAATTTATGCTAAAAAATCTGATTTTACAACCAAATAGGAAGAAAAAGCGAGTACTTCAAAAACAGTGGTTGGTATCTGGGAACATTGCTTAGTATTTACTAAAATTCCTTATAAGATGATTTTCATGCAAGAAATAGTTTTTGACCATGGTGTGCTTCGTACAATATAAGTCGCGAAGGAACAATTCTGAAACCTCAGCTGCAAATCTATCTCCTCAAGTATCGTTGATGCACAGCTATCAAATTAGAGTGAGCTTTATTTGGACAGGAAACAAAACTTACGATCCAGTCGCTGCGAAAATTTGCTGGCGATTATTTGTCAGAGAAGGTAGACAAGCTGGAGGAAATAGTAACGGAGATTCTAGACTTGGCTTCTGCGGACAATTTGTCGGAAGAGCTAGGTAGACAAATGGAAATTTTTACGTTATTGACAACATGTTCGAGCATTTTGTAGGGATGCAGCGAGTTGTTTGCCACGGAGATTTATGGTCAGCTAATATCCTGTGGCGGCAGGACGATGGCGATAATTTGAAAATGACAGCTTTGATAGACTTTCAGGTACTTGATTCTAATAATGTAATCCCTCAATGTCCAAAAACACATACGCTGTCGATTAACTTTGTTACCAAATTTGTCTTAAAGACGGTGATGACCTAGAAGGGGTTTTTTGTACTAGACTGTGAATATGGGCTGCCCAGCTTCTGATTTGGTCCGCGTTTTTTCTTCATGCCTAAGTGGGAAGGATAGGCAAGAGCATTGGGAGGAGCTGCTGGAGCATTTTTATGACTATTTGAAGGACGAAATTGTGGATCAGCAAATGCCGTATACTCTAGAACAGGTAAGACGTTCGCTATGCTCAAAGAAGGATAACTACAGCTCAGATTTAGAAACATCATTGCAGCTCAAAGAATCTTATCGCCGCTTCTTACCTCTTGGCGGATTCTTGATCGCGTCCATGATCGGTTCATTTTTCAACATTGTGTGCAAAAATCCAGACAAGAAGCAGAGAATGAAGGTATGATTTGATTTGTCATCGCATCATGACAATAAGATTACATACTTCCAGAGCATAGATACAGCAAAGGAAAAGCTTGAAGCCCTAATAGATGACATCATCTTCTTCCACCAACGCAATCTGCAGCTCAAGCAAGCCATTTGAGGAATGCTTGTGACTTGCAGTCTATTGAAAGTCCATAATGAAATTTTTGATTATGTGCAATTGAGTTCCTACCGTATGTAGCCCGCAAAATTTATACACTTATGTTTTGTGCAGATTATTATTTTATAAACACTTGAAGAGGAGTATTCGAATAATAAACTAAAAACTTTTGTTTTTGTTTTCTGATCATAACTTAGGCAGGCAGGCTTATTGAGTTCTCCATTCAATCTAACATTTCGACGAATAATGCCTTTTTCAGAGATCTGAAAGAAAGTTTCATATTTGTTTTCCACTCTGTATGATTAAATCTCTCTTCTAAACTAGCTTAGTTCAATGCCCTAGGAGCGAACATGCTGAGATATTACATTGTAAGTATTAGGTTAGAACGAAAGTTCTCGGACATTTTAGACTAAATCTAGTATTTCTCGAGTCCTAATGCATGTACGTCCTCGAAAATTTGCAGTTGTCTTCCCTTTTGCCCGTAGCTAATTTTGAGCAAGTGGGGGGAGGGGGAGCCTAGGACCAATGGGGGCGGAGTTTGCCACTTTTCA